GTCGGTCATAAGTGATCCCGTCGATGTAAATTACGCCCAGGTATCCTACATGGCAGATTCTGGCCATTTTCTGACCACTTTCGACGGTTTGGACGGAAGTGACGAGTAGCAGCAGCTCCTCTACGGATTTTTATGCGTCAACATCGACTTTATACTGTCTGGTCGGAGCTGTGATCTTAGGTGGAAGTCGAGCATGGAGATTTCCGGCGGCTTTTGGCAGTTCTCCCCCAGCCCGACATGGCAACAACTTCTTTTCTGGCGGGCGGCGGCAGCGGCATGGCGGGGGCGCGTCTGGGTGGTCATGACGTCTAAAATGTGTGGACATGGAGTCTAGGTGGTTCGCCGGCGACGTGGTGGCGAGTGATAGACGAGCCGAGCAGCTCAAAGCTTAACAATGGAAGAAATCTCACGTGTTGTGCTATCATGAAGGAGAAGAAGATGAATACTTGAGTCTTGAATTCTCTTGGGCTGATGTGGGTCTTTAGTTAATGAAGTGCATTTGGGCCTTGATGGAATTTCTGCAGCCCAATAATATGGGTTTCATGGCCCATGTAATTGAATTCGTCCCAACGTATGGTTCACACATCGTCTTTGACCGATTTTCGCCGTTTTCGACTCCAAAAATTAAGTTGACCCTATTTCCTAACAAAACTCAAAATAGAACACATTCGTCATAGCTTAATAAAAATAATTAAATAATAATTAATTATATATTGACTACGACAAAACGGACACGAAATTCACTATAAAATGCACGTAAAATTGATGCATGTCAAAAAATGCAACATAACACAACAGTAAGGCAATATAGTGTAAAAAAATGTGTCAACTCAACATTTTTCATGTAAGTTTTTCAGAAATGCTTCATCTCAATCCTACATCGACTTTCGTGAAAATGTTGTGGCAAAAAATATTTTACCGAGTACATGATGATTCCCGACCTCAGGTCAATCTCTCGAGAAAGGCGGTTCGAAATCTAGAAGTGGTGTTGATAATACATAAACGAAAAATAAATCCTAAACACTTTATCCAGATGGTTGGTTTTAATTATCAACTACGAAAGAAAATTCGAACAAATCGAACTTAAAAGCAAAGACGAAGATCAAAGGATAAGAAGCTGAGGAGTCGGAAATGATGATTTTCTAACCAATGAAAATATCAAGCTAAGATCATTCGGTTAAATGATTCGAACAACCTAACGTCTATAGATAGTCCTCAATAACTCTTCGTAACAAGAGGGTAACATAGACGGTAAATCACGCAAATCACACAATACATAGACAATACGATTCCGAACAAGTCTATTTCACGCGAGCATAAATCGATCAATTCCTCCCATTTCGGTTCTAAGAGTTGATTAATTATCCCAGACGATTGTTAATCTACTAATTCGTTGGAATTAAACACATCACACAAGAACGAATCATATTTCAATTGTAAATCAAGTGCAAATCGAAGTGTCACTTCGAAAGTATTCAACATTCAATGCACGAGAATTATAAACCTTAGTTAAGCACAACTCGCATAAATTGAACGATCAACAAACATGAAAATTACATTTAAATTCTAAACATCATCATCATCACCATCATCCCCTACCCTAGCGAAACGAATTAGCTATTCATAGGAAATTCAAAATCAAGAATCTCAACATTCAAAGCCATCATATTCATGGATTAGATGAAAAGAGAAACTTACAATTAATAGAGATCCGATATTCGAATCCAATGACAAAACTAAATCTGGAAAAACTAAAAAGAGAATTGAGCAAAAAAATGATCAAAATCCAAGTTTTAGAGTAGGAGAAAGGGGAAAAACAAGTTTGGGGATTATAGCCACAAGTTTAGGGGTCGTTTCAATATATAGAACTCGAAAAACGAATCAAAAACAAGTAAAAACGAGCATAAATAAAAACATGGGTGAACGGGTCGCGACTCGCGAGTCTGACGGGTCGCTGGGCGTAGATCGAAGGCTCTGTTAAAGTCGCGAGTCGCGACTTTGGGCTCGCGACTTTAGCTGCGAGCTACGATTTTGGTTGCACTGCATGACTTTACGCTTTGGGGTCGTCCAAACTCAAAATTGAATTCCATTTTTCCTGTTGATATGTTCATAAGACAATTGCCAACAGACGATACTGATTTGAAAGACAATTGCACACACGAGTTGTTGGAGAAATTGGTAACAAAAGGGAGGAGTTAAACTCCTCTATGGGAGATCTTTTGATGCAGCAGATAAAATGGAACGGAAGTACAAGGATTTTGAGAGAAAGGAGTCTGCTATCACCTGGTGGAAGAACTTTGAGGTAATCGTTTCCGTATTCATATTTTTTCATGACAAAAATCAATTTCGAATATGTAATGCAATTAATAACTTTAATATTGATTTTACGTTTACTGCAATTTCAAGTTTAAAGCTGAAACACCAGGCTACGTTGACTTCCTTATTGAAGTAAAAACCGAGAGAGATTTACTCTAACATGATGACTCGATTCTCGTCATGCATTGGCTATGTACACAGTCAGTCAATCACTATTGTCAAACAAATTAGAAAAGATGAGCTTGAGGATTGTTTATATCAACAAGGTTAGGCAATCTTTTTTGTTACAGCAATCAGACTTTGTTGATGCTTGAATCATTAACAGCTCTGAACTAACACGTTCTGTTTTTTCTTTCTATTGGCGGCATGATGTAAACTTTGATGCCATAGTGCTGCTGCCCAAATCCAAATTGGCTCAAAAGATGACTTAAAGGGGGGGTCTTATCGAGAACTACTTTCATTGTTTCAGTGGGTCTGTATCGGTAATGACTCTGCTTTAGTTTTACAATGTTTATTTTATTTATTTTTTTGCAGTGAGGAAAATGTAACTGACATTCATCTCAAAGATCAGCTGAAAAAAGCCGGCGTGTCTTAATTGAAGCCGTGTCAGAGGTCGATTATGAGCTTGCTGAAGCATTCTCTATGATCCTATACCTATATAGGTTGCGGAACTTGAGGTATGAAATTCTCATGCAAGCAAAACTAAAGATCATTTACATTATGTGACTAACTCAAATTAGATTTAAGAGTTACACCTTAAACCTTTGTTTAATTATTCATAGGACGCTATTCAGAGAGCTACTGTATCTCTGAAGTCTGTGCCCATATTCATGGGTAGTGCACTCAAGGCAGGTTCTTCAATTTTAGACAGTAAGTGGTATTTCAAACACCATTTGTTTATGTCAGAGTTGCATTTATCGTTGCTAATTGTGGTTATAGGGAGTCCAACCATTTATCGTTTGTACTGAAGTTAGTAACTAAAATGTTGACCAATGGAGATGAAAAGGTATGCCGTTTTAAACTTCTGTTATAGCGTTGTATGTATATATCCTATCACTTAACTGCTGCACTGCAGGATATATACATACAACGCTATAACAGAAGTTTAAAACTGCACACCTTTTCATTCACTCTTAGATTGGTCAACAACATAGTTACTAACTTCAGTAAGAATGATAAACAGTTGGACTTCCTATAACCACAAAATTAGCAACGATAAATGCAACTCTGACGTGAACAAACAGTGTTTGAAATACCACTTAGTGCCTAAAATCAAAGAACATGCCTTGAATGCACTACCTATGAACACGGACACAAACTTCAGAGATACAGTAGCTCTCTGAATAGCGTCGTATGAATAATTAAACAAAGGTTTAAGGTGTAACTCTTAAGTCTAAGTTGAGTTAGATAAAAAGATAGTCACATAATGTAAATGATCTTTAGCTTTGCTTGGATGAAAATTTCATACCTCAAGTTCCGCAGCTGATATAGGATCACCTCTATGGAATGCTTCAGCAAGCTCATAATCGACCTCAGACACGACTTCAATTAAGACACGCCGACTTTTTTCAGCTGATTCTTTGAGATCAGTTGGAATGTCAGTTACATTTTCCTCACTGCAAAAAATAAATAAAATAAACAATGTAAAACTAAAGCAGAGTGATTAACAATACAGACACTGGAAAAATGAAAGTAGTTCATAGTGACCAGGTCAATAAGACTTTCTTTAAGTCATCATTTGAGCCAATTTGGATCTGGACAGCAGCACTGTGGCATCGAAGTTAACATCCCGCCACCTAAAGAAAGAAAAACAGAACGGGTTAACTCAAAGCTGTTAATGATTTCAAGCAGCAACAAAGTCTGATTGCCGTAACAAAAAAAAAAATTGCTAACCTTGTTGATATAAACAATATTTAAGTTCTATTCTTTTCTAATTTGTTTGGCAATACTGATTGACTGACTCTGTACACCGCCAATGCACATGACGAGAATCGAGTCATCTTGTAAGAGTAAATCTCTCTCGGTTTCTACTTCAATAAGGAAGTCAACGTAGCCTGGTGTTTCAGCTATAAAAACCTGAAATTGCAGTAAACATAAAATCAATATTAAAGTTATTAATCGCATTACATATTCAACATCAAATTCAACATCGATTTTTGTCATGAAAAAATGTAAATAAGGAAACGATTACCTCAAAGTTCTTCCACCAGGTGGCTGCACTCCTTTCTCTCAAAATCCACGAAATCCTTGTACTAAAGTTCCATTTTATCTGCTGCATCAAAAGATCTCCCGTGGAGGAGTTTTAACTCCTCCCTCGCATCCCTAACACATTGAAGAAGTTTGTTGTCTCTTGTTCAATTCCAATTTCTCCAACAACTCGTGTGTGCAATTGTCTTTCAAATTAGTATCCTCTGTTGGGACAAACAGAAAACTACAGACCTGTCCCTAGAAGATATGGTCATACATAACCAAACATTTCCCGCCTAATTTACATTAAAATTGCTAATAATACATTCTCCGATTCATGCAGCATCAAAGATTAAAAAGGAAAAAAAAAAAGAAAAATAAAATCTTTCCGAGCTATCGACAAGTTCGATTACAAGCCATTTTTTTTTCCGCCTCTCACGCGTCTATATAAAAAAACAAAACAAGATCAAAAGGAAAAATTAAAACAAATAAAAAAGTCACTTATCGGCACCACCACCGAACATACCCATCATGTCCTTGGTGGAGCCCATCTGTTTCATGAGGTTCTGGAGTCCACCCATGCCGCCAATCTGCTTCAGCATCTGTGGCGGCAACACTTTGCTCATGTGCTGCGCGTTCATGTTGCGGGACAACGCACTCATCTCACCTTTCTTGGGGATCTTTAGCCCCTTCATCTTGCTCCATATCTTCGCCAGCCGCTTGTACTCCTCCAGCATCTCCAGCACGTCCCTCACCGGCCGCCCGGACCCTCGAGCTATCCGCATTATCCGTGACTCGTTCATCAGCTTCGGATTCGAACTGTCCAGCTCTGACAAATATATATGTGTAGTTTTACATGGGGTTAGAGTTAGGAGAGCAATGTGTACTAGATTAGTAATTATTTTTATCAAAACTAAAAGAAAGAAGGAATAGTATTTCAATATTACATATACACCCTTGGACTTTTCTAGTTCACCCAATTGCATCATCAAGACAGGCGTATTTAATAAAGAAGAGCAAATTGTATACATAATTTCGAGGGGCAATTGAGTGTTTCTTGGGGAATGATAAAAGCTAAACTTTGAGGGAGCTTTTTTAGTAATTTTCCGAAACAAATAATTTCATGTTGTTAAAAACCTTACCTTCATTAGTCATTGAGTCCATCATTGTCATGTATCTTTTGATCTTTGCCTGGCTCTCCTTTTCACGTCCTTTCGGCATCAACTCTTGGCTAAAACCTGGAAGCATGGAGAAAACCTACCAAAAAGAAAAGGGAAAAAAAATAATCTGAGTAAGAATGAATATACTGTAAGTACATGCACGGAAACGGGCAAGCAACAGACAGACCTGACCAATAGGGCCCATTTTGAGTATATTCTGAAACTGCTCGTACATAATCCTCAAAGTAAAGTTGCCTTCTGATAGCTTCTGGAGAAGCTCAGGTTGTTGATCCATAGGAACAACTTCTTGAATTTTGTCCATGAATCCTGACCAGTCACCCATACCTATAGCAATTGGAAAAACAGAAAATGTTACTCAGTTGAACGTGGTTAGCAGCAAAATATCACTTCAGCTAAAAGTTAAAGAGGTTCCAACCTAAAAGACGACTAACAAATGGTTTGACATCAAATACTTCAAACTCATCCATATGTTCACCCGTCCCAATAAATATGACAGGACTTTTTGTGGCTGCAACGCTGCAAATAAAGATGAATATAAATCAAACTGAATCAAGAAAATTTCAAACCACATTTCGACAGATACTTCAACATCTAAATTTAAGAATTCAATATGATTAAATATGATTATTTGAAGACTTACGCACTAAGAGCACCACCTCCCTTAGCATGCCCATCCATCTTGGTGATGATCACAGCACCAACTGAAACACTTTGCTTGAAAGCTTGAGCTTGATCGAATGCAGCTTGACCAATGCTGCTGTCCATGACAAATATCACAAGATCTGGTTTCTGGAAAATTCAAAAAATAACTCAAGTATTATAAAGTAGAAACTAGAACCAAAGAATAAAGAAAAAAGAGGCACCAGAAATTGCATACTGTTGCTTCAGAAACTTGGCGCATCTCTTCAAAAAGAGATGCTTCCTGCTTGTGACGTCCACTAGTATCTACAATTATAAGATCACAATTTTCTTTCTTAAACCTCTCAACACCTTCCACTGCAATTCTTACAGGATCAGACTCCGTGTAGCTGTTAAGAACAAAACCATTACCCACATAAGATATCTACTCATCGAAGATTGTATCGCCCAAAAAGCAAAAATGACACACAATAGAACCTTTCATATAGGCACAGTACTAACTATCGGAAAGAAAAGGATCTATATGAAGTAGCAATGACTACTTACACACAAAACATAATATATAGAAGAACCACATTTTCTTCAGTGACTAGGCGTATTTGGACCTATCCATTTGTACAGGACCTACAGGTTAATGAGGGCATTGAATCTACGTTCACAAATAACTGATATTGGCATCAAATCACATTAATGTGAGATCCATTCCATACATATTCCTCACACACTCAGATAATGTACCTAAACAATAATCTCCAGAAAATAATTGAAACACATTGTTAGCCCATGTAATTCAAACTCAAATATTTAAAATATATACATATGTGTACAGTGGAAATCTAAACAAGCAGGAATTGGTTGATTTCTAGAAAGGGTAGACTAAAACATTGCACATCAGAAGTTAATAGAAAAACAGGATGCAAAACTAATCCACCAGTGAACAATAAAACTACACCTCCCGTAAAAAGGAATTTTAGCTTTAGTGGCATTCTGCTTCAATTGGTCAAAGGCACCAGCTCTAAATGTATCTGCACAGACCAGAGCAGGCTTCCAACCCTTCTTCTGATGGTAATATGCATATTTTGTACATGTAGTCGTTTTCCCAGCACCTAGAACCAAGTATATATCAATACCTCTATCCTTTCTCTCACAGACAAAGTAAATAACCAAGAGCAAAAATTCAGAAATAGCCTCAAGTCGCTTCATGAAAAATACGATATTATCAGTCAGTTAAATATGAATAGCATAATACATACAAAATATGAAATATTGGTCACCAGAATAGTGCATTATAAAATTCAAATAAATGACTGCTCTGAAGTCATTGTAACAGTTACCTTGTAGACCAACAAACATAATAACACTAGTTTTCCCCTTTTTTGGAGTGAATGAAGGCTTTCCTGGATCTAATATCTTGCACAGCTCATTAAAAATAGCCTACAAAAAAAAAATGATAATAATAATTTGTAATAAAATCACTGCTTCATGTGCACACAAAAACGGCAGTGTAATCAAGACATAATCACACAGGTTGACTAAACTTTCATAAGCAAATGCACAAATAAGAGTGATCTTGCATGTCTTATCTATATGCATTTTTGACAGACTACATATATTGCCAATTTGACAACTGTGATTCAAAAAAATGATGGGCAAGGCAAAAACAACACCTTAAGTTAATATCTGAACCATCACACATCACATATAGCAAAAATTTCAGCTTACCAGTCAAACATCAGTATATTTTAGATATCTCGTATCAGTTATAATCAGATCAGCGTATGAATCAACCTTCACTTTCTAAGATAACAAGCATCATAGCACAAACACCAATATACACCAACACGAATTTCCCGTATTTCTCCCGATCACCCACGCCACCAACTCCCAGGAAGATATAATATTATAATTTTCATGGCAAATATCAACAACAAAGCTTAATTAAGATACAAACAACTACTACTACTTTCAATTGAAACTCCTCGTACTAAAATGTCTCCCACGTTTAAGTAGATGACATGCCATTACCACCTGCTGCATAGAACTTCAAACTAAATTCAACAGACATGGACCAAAAGGAGGACAAACAGAAGAGGGAGCTTTTCTCCGCTCACCTGTTGGATTATTCTGCGCTTATTGTGGCCAGCGGCGAGATCATCGAGGTTGACGATCCTCTTAATGTTGTTCTTCATATCGGCGACGAGCTTGAACTGCACATCGGCTTGGAGGAGAGCGCGCGTGATCTCGTTGAGGCAATCATTCAGCACCTTCTCGTCGATGATGGTCGCATTGCTCATCTGCTGAAGAGCACGCGTGATGGTACCCCCTAACTGCGCGAGCACCATTTTCGCTGATCTCCGGCGATTCCAACTGGAGAGATTGGGGTTCAAATTAGGGTTCCGATGAGTTTTCTTGTTCGGTCGCAGGAGGAGAGAGGGACACGGGCGTTGCGAATACACAATATGTTGCTCGATGACATAATTTAATAATAAATCCAATTGCGTACGAGAAATGGGCCTGATTTTTTGTAATAGTACGGGCTTTGTTAAATTGTCGAAGCCCAAGTCAATGTAGGCTTCTAATGGAAAAATCAAATAAATTCTAAAGTGTTATAAAATACGGGGAAGATAAAGAACACAATATAAAAACATGAAATAAATTATAATATGATTTTTTTTCTTTCTTTTCCGTGTCTCTACATTGCACTACTCCTTTTATAGGCAAATTTTCATGCATTATTTCTAAACATTTCTATGCACTCACACACTTCTATACATTCACACATTTCTATACATTATTGATAAGATAATGTGATAATGTTATTAGTGGTATATTCCACTTGTTTACAATATTGTCCCTTGGAATTACAACTATTAACTGTGCGTTTATGTTGCCACGTTAAAAACTTTATTTGAAAAAATTCAGTGGGAAAAAACCGAGATAAGGAAAAAAGAGTACAGCCGCACATACTCCCCCTCGAGTTATTATCTGTGCAAATCTCGAAGATGTCTCATATCAATATTGTGCACGTGCTTTCAAAATATTGTAGTCGGAAACGCCTTCGTAAATAAATCTGTTGCATTATCACTTGATCGAATGTATTGAACTTTGATTTGTTTGTTTCTTTCAAGCTCTTGAGCATATGAGAAAAACTTTGGCGACATATGTTTAGTTCTGTCATTCTTAATGTACACTTCTTTGGTTTGAGCGACATATACTGCATTGTCTTTGAATATCACCGTCGGATCTTTATTGGCTTGTTGAATATGTTGAGTCATATTTCTGAGCCATATGCTTTCCCTAGTTGCTTAATGACACAATGCCAACTTTAACTTTATGACAAATGGAAATAAAAATTTGGATACACAAACAAGCCATAATCATATAAAAATAACTCCACACCACAAATTCCCTTCTCCTATGTGAAGAAATAAAGCATATTCAACAACCAGAAAATTAAAAGAAAAAAATAAATAATAATAATAATAATATAATAATAATAACAATAAAAAATCATATTTGCAAACAAGCCCCCTAAAAATCTCACACATTTTCAATTTCCTGCTTTTCTTGCTCTACTTCTTGCTTTGGCTCCTTCAAGCCACCCCCCACAGACTCCTCCCCAAACATCTCATCACTTTCCAAAACACCAAGCCTCTCCTTATTATCCCCTCTCAATAGCTCGACCACCTCGAGCATCGCGGGCCTTCTCTCGGGCTGGCTGTTGGCGCAAACGAGCCCGATCAAAACAACCCTTTTCATCTCTCCCTCCACGTACTTCCCCTTAAGTCTGGGGTCCGCCAGCTCGCCGAATTTCCGCTCGCGGGCCAACGGCAAGGCCCAGTCGGTAATGGGCCGCCGAAGGCTTGGGCCCACCTTCTCAAGGGGCTTGCGGCCCGTGGCAAGCTCAAGCAAGAGGATTCCAAAGCTGTAAACGTCACAAGCCTCGGAGGCCTTGCCGAGCATGGCGTACTCCGGAGCAAGGTAGCCGAGGGTGCCTTTGATTTGGGTGGTCACGTGGGTTGCACCTTCCGGTACAAGCCGTGCAAAACCGAAGTCCGCAACTTGGGCCTTGAAGCCCGAGTCGAGGAGAATGTTACTAGCTTTAATGTCACGGTGGATAATGTGTGGGGTCGCTTGGTGGTGCAGATACCTAATAAGAAGGAATTAAGGCCCCGGTTGGTTATAAGTTATGTGACCAAATAATTTTTTTTACTCAAAATCTGACTCAACCCAATTTTCTTCAATATTATCCGTATAATTAAATAATATCAATCGAGTAACCTGAGGCATGACATCAACTTTAATTCACTGTTCACCGCTCACATAAATTTAGCTGTTAATCACTTCCAATCATCTCTCAACTATTTTTACATCAAATCAACTTTAATCATTATATTTTAAATATTATTTCAATACAAACAAAAAAAATCCAACTCAAACCTAACTCAATCACCTTTTTTTAAAATTAACTCTGGTTATACAACAAATCATATCAAATCCAAAATAACTTATATCCAATTACCCCCTAAACTTTTCAAAAATGACCAAGAGCTAGTCTCCAAAAGACATTCCAAGTTAGATTATAGAACTTAACAACGTATAACTAAAGATTGAGATGAAATTGTGAAAAGTTGGAGTATTTTAGTGATCAACCCTACTTTTAACAAGCTGTATTGGGTGGTTTGCAAAGCAATTACAAACCTCAACGAGATATTTGCACTAGGAAAAATCAACTGTATCTTCCTAAAACAACACCAAAACTTCAAGCATTTTGTAATTATCCTTAATTGTTATATTAAGTACTTACGCAATGCCCTCGCTGGCCCCAATAGCGATTTCCATCCGTCTGGCCCAGTCGAGATGGGATTCGGCAGAATGCTGCCCGTGAAGATGAGACATCAAGCTCAGGTTAGTCATGTAATCGTAGACGATAAGACGTTCTTGCCCTTCCGAACAATAGCCTCGTAAAGTTAGCAGATTCTTGTGCCGCACACGAGCAAGAACCTCGACTTCAACAGAA